GGAATTTGAAGAGGAAGGAGAGGAGGATGAGGCTTAAGTCCCCTGGTATCAAGGGAACTTCTGTAAAGCAGGCATGTGTACTGAATGACTTCTGATAGTGGTGGTGAAGCATGTTCTCTAGAAACTGTGTACCCAGTTGTCCTCTCAGCACTTGTAACTTTGACAGATTTCTCAATGTAACAGTTCTGAATCCCAGTTATTACCATGTTTTTTGTCTTTTGATGGTAAGAGCACATAAAGGCATGTATTCTATATTATGTTTTCTGTCTTTCTTAACACCTTTATTGGACACAGAACAGCTATTTGGCCCATGTGGCAAGAAGTAAGTTCAAAGATGTTGGCGATCTTGCAGCACAATGGTGCGCTCTGACCCACTGAGGCTTACATATTCTCAGAATGTATGGTTCTCATGCAAGTATCTTTCATCTTTTTTCTTACAGGACTCAAACCTACCTGTAGCTTGAATGAAAATGGAAAGCCAGCTAAAATGCCTAAACAAGGCGAGGACAAACACCTCTAACTTGTTTTACACTTTAAGTCATTGCAGGAAAGCTTCCACTTGTCTATTGAAGTCCTCTGCAAAACGCAGGTGTAGATTATGCTTTCCTTCTGGCATCAGAAGCAACCTTAAAAGAGGGGGGGAAAAACATCAAACACTGAATATACATTATATTCTGTGAGTATAGGTAATTAAAACATTTGTTGCCTTTTCCTTGCTTGTGATTACCCAAGTACAGACCCGGTGTAACTCTTGGTTTAAGTACAGTCCCTATGTATATCGTTTGGAATGTGAACCACAGCAACAGCTGACGCAACAAGCATACTACTTGCTCTACTTTGGGGAGGATAAACTAAGCTTAAAACAAATTTTTGTGTCCTAGACCCAGTTTCTAGGAACCTCTCTGGTGGTCTGCACAGAAGATAACATTCCAAAACTTACGTGAGCAGGATGCATCTTTGAAAGGTATGTGAAGTACCTGAGCTCTTTTGCTTCTTTCAGAGAACAGCGGTTGTGCTGGCCAGTGAACATACTGAAGAGATCACTACAGAAATGTAGATTTCTTGTCACCACCCAAACTTAGTTTGTGTTTGAACTTTGTCTAATCTTTCTACAAAAAGACAATCCCAAACTAACACCATTCATCCATCCATTAAAGTAAAAAGGGAAGTCAGGACTTCTTCAGCTATAACAAAAGCTTAGAAGTAGTATCTGTGAAAGAATTTAAATCTTTGTAATACTAATGCGAGTGTGACAAGCCTAAAATGCTACCTCCCATTGCTTTCTGAGAAAAACTTTACACAGCAGGTATGTACCTCTAACACCTCTTTTCTTTACGTGGGAAATTCTTTACATTATTTTATCCTACCACATACTAAGCAGTTTCAACAGCGCTAAAGCTGTCTTGACTTATACTTTGCTATGTTGCCTTCATGTCATCTAAGCCCCACTGTAGCAAGGGCGATTTTTTGTCTTTTGGTGGTGACAAGCAATATAGTGTGTGAACATACTCAACTCTTCTAGCACTTCTGTCTGACTTCCATTAAATCTCTTTCTTCAAAGACCAAGCAGCACACAGATGCACAAACCTATAGCACTGTGTATACTATTAGCTACTGCCATTAAGCCACTGTAACGCTACCTAACTCTAGCCATACCAGGCAAATACAGAATGATGGCACACTCTACCATGAGAGAAACGAGCAATGTATCTGCACTACAATCGGCAAAAGCTTTTTCTACTTTACTACTAGATAAAAATCAAGGTGAGAAAAGCTGACGGTAGAAGCGTGTGTTACTGAAAATACATTAAGGTTTTGCTTCTGCTTCACAATGGAACATGTCATCTTCAGTGCAACAAGGGAAGAAGGGGACCATCTAGCTAAGTATTAATTTCTGAGAACACCATTAGTCTGATTTCTGATAAATACACGTATAGGGGAGCACTTCAGCATGAAGATGCGTGAAGAGCCACTTTAAATTTTCTTGGACAGCAAATTCTAATGCTGTTTCATCCTTGGCTTGCCTTCTAAAGAGAAGCTATCAGATCCTTGCCTAGTTTTCGTGACTACTTGCCTTAGTCAGCATCTGGAGCTCTGTGAAACTGAACAGGATGATAGGTGTTCTGAGAAGGGCATGTGGGAGCATGAAATAAAGCACCTGCATGTGACTGTTGGGAAGGTCGCTTGTTCTCTTTCCTGTGGCATAATGCATTTCCATGAACAGTGGGGCTGACTTTGAGATGAATAT